GGCAGGGGTAGAGGAACCGGGCGGATGTGGGGCAGATCGCGAGGGCGTGTCTTGAGGAGGCGGCTGAGAGGGCGGATTGACGTACTGTGAACCGGCACTGTCTCCCCATACACCCTGTTCCTCCGCAGAAAACCCATCCATCCTAAGCGTGGGAGCGGGGCGAGCGCGAACACGGAAAATTGATGTGTTCGGAAGCGAGCGAACGCGACCGTCGAATTTTGTTGTGGTCTTCGCAAACTGTAATGCGCGGCGGCGCGAGACGGACGAGACGAGGCGCGCGGCGGTCGCTCAGAGGGTCAAAGAGTGAGATTAGGCGTGAGGGCCGCGTAGTACTGGCGTTGCGAAGACAAGGAGCGCGTCGAGGACGCGCGACGGACGTGTACAGTACGATTATGTAAGCGAAGTAATGGCGCGCGAAGCGCCCATTACACACGAGTCGAGTTGCTGAACATGCGCGTTCATCTGCTCTGTACCACATCGAGCTCGTCTCCGAGTACGCGTAGGCGTACCTGCTGTCTAGTGGTATCCAGACTGCCCATCTCGGCCTGCATCTCGGACTGGCTAGATACGCGAAGACCTGGGCGCCCGAATGGACTCTCTCAGGCTCGGATTGGTCTCGTTCTTATATCAGTCCCTCTCTCCGCGAAGCCTCAAGCGTCAGGCTCAACGTACTAGGCACGGCAAAGCCTATGCGAAGTTCACTTAGTATCCCACAGCTCTTCTGAACATATCAGATAGCCTGAGAAAAACCGCTCTTCGATGCATCGGGCACTGACAGGTCAGATGGCGGATACTTCGCAACAGGGAACCTCGCACGGCACGAACACGGCGCCGTGCACTTCCCCGTGCCGCGAAAGCCCCAAATAAAAGATACGTGGTACGATATCAATATTGCATCTGGAAGCTGCGAGTAAGCACACACGCGCGCACAAACAGATGGCGGGTTTCGCATGAACGCCCTGTAGCGTCCCTGTATGAGATTGCGCGCGCGGGAAACACAAATATGCATTACCCGTCAAATCGCCCTCACCCTCGAGGCGTGTCTCTGCATGTAACAAAATGCGAGAACAAGGCCAAGCCCTTGAACGAAATATATTCGTTGCCACCCAAAGGAATGGCCTAATCTCCGAGTTCGATGTGGACTTGAACCTACCAATGGACAACCTCCGTCCGTCTCGCTTCTGAGGGTGCCGCGAATCGCTCCTGAGCTCGTACGGGGATGATTGTATTGACCGTTACACTATCTGACCCGCGGCAGCGGTGCCTCCACCCGCTCGAAACGGGGGCATCCCTTCGGAGGGTCGACGTACCGAGCGCCCACTATCCCAAGCGAGCGCGTCCCTAGCACTGTGCAGGTCGAGACCGCGTAACCAGGTGTACCCTTCCGCGGTGAGTCCGTGCGCACCCTTGCCCGCTCACCCCGTTTCCCTCGGCTCGCCGTGTCGTGCTCTGGTTGGTCGTCCGCCCGGCGGGCTCGGTGCATTCTTCCGTTGCCCTCGTAAGATCGGTGTGCCGCGGTCGTAAGCAGCCGCTTGTGCGTGATGGAGCAGAGCCAGGCTCCGACAAACGCTCTGCGCACAGACCATGTACGACGCGAGAGAACGGGGCGGCCCTAAAGCGTGACGAGGATAAGTACGTGACTGTGTGCGACGCGGGCGCACACACACCTTCTCCCTCCTTCTCTCCCCCATCCCAAGCATCCCTCGCGGACGGCTCCGTATCGCATGCGATGGCACTGCGCTCGCCGACCAATACCGCACGCAGGAGGCGGTAAGTACCGCGCAGCAAACTGGCACTCGACAACCACCACTTACCTCTTTGTTTCCAGCCCTCCCGTCGATCATGTACGAGGAGTCGACGAGATGGATGCGACGGGCGATGTGGACGGCGGAGGTATCACGGCCGCGCGGGGCCATCCTGGTACGCGAACGTTCCGTGGCGCGTGTGTACACTAACTAGCTGAGCGATGCCGGCGGCGGCGTCCGCCTTCCTGTGAGACGTTACCAGCAGTACGACCGCCGTGTGGCACTCGTCCACTGCACACGCTCGTAGCTCGCCTGTTCAAGCATCGTCAACTGCGGTACGTTGGTGCAAGCCTCGTCGCGCGATGATGTGTTACTTACCACAGGCATCCAGGCCTCCTTGTCGTGAACGGCAGGCCACGCGGATGGCTGTGTGCAGATGACGCTCCAGGAGCGGAATCCCCGCGCACTTATGCCTTCGTACGGACCCGCGCACACTTGTTATCAGAGGGACGCGCCTACCGTGTGCGCGCGAACCGGTTCTTTCCCGGATGAGGTGAGTCGAGTCTGCGCGAGTCCATCTCTTCGCGAGAGGTTCATCGCATCGTTTCCGGTCCTCTTTAGACGCAGCCACACCGTTCGATGCATACGCCAGTCTCCCCGTTGCCCGGAAGAACTCGAAGGGTCTGCGGCAAACAGTGTGAGTTTGACGATCTAGACCCTGTGTGTGCGACCGCTAACCTGGCGCATCGTTTGCAGTACGACGCCGTGCATGCAGCCATCGTCTTGCCCGACAATACGAGAGCCCCGGACGAGGCGGGAGGGCAAACCCGACACAGAGGCGGGCTCGTAGGCGGCGGAGCATGATACTACGCCGTGGACCTGGTGAGCTAGCGTGACATTGCCAGGTCGCAACCCTCCTACTCACCTCTCCCCATTCTCGACCTTCCGCTTGCCTCCCGACGCTCGCAGGCGAACCCCACGCGCTCGACTCTCGTGTCGCCGCCAATTCGACGCTGCAGCACACGAAGGTGAGCGATGCGGCACCCACGCGGGCGCACAGTAACTGACTTCCATTCGCGTAGAAACATGCGCAGGTCCGCGACGTAATGCACGCGGAAGCTGGGCGGACCCGGGACGGCCGTCTGCGAGGATGTGCGGGGCGGCGGGACACGGATAGATTACGTTACTAGGTAGCTAGGTACACGCTTGGGACCCGAGACGGCGGTCTCCCGCGCCCGTGCCCGCGACCTGTCTCGCGCCTGGCTCCTTGAGCGCAGGGGCGGGCGGGCGGGACATCAGGTGAGTGGCATTTGATGTGTGGGGGGACGGCGGCGACGAGGCGGATGGGTGCGGAGGGCCTCGCCTCGCCTCGCCGAGCGGGTGTTCTCCTGCGGCGATCGTAGTCGAGGGCGCCCGCTCACCCGCAGATACTTGGCCTGGGGATGTCCGAGCCAGGCCGGGAGCTGGGCGGTACGCTGCGGGCGCCGTAAGTCATGGCGCACACACGGTGTGAGGGGCCGGCCGCGTGCCTCGTGCGCTCCCAGTCCCCTCTATGCGCGAGCGGGGTGCCCCCGCAGCTTGCACGGCGCGTCGCCGGTGAGCACGACGACGTCTCCGCGTGCGGGACTCGTCGGCGCGCCCCGACGACGTCTCGGCTGGTCGATGACACCCGCCGCGATCCCGTCGAAACGCCCCTCGCGGGCTTGTCTCTGCTCCTGTCGTCCCGACGCGCTCTAGAGGCATGCGGTCTGGTGCACAGAAGCGGGCTGTGGCGTTGTCCCGGGGTTCGGACGCGTTGCCAAGGCGCGAGAGCGGCGGCGTGCGCGGGTCGGGAGACGGCCGCGTACTTCGCCACGGCCGTTCTGGGTGTGTTGGCATCGCCGTTGCGACGTCAATGCCGTGTCCGAGGTCCCCATGAGCATGGGCCGCGGCGGGGAGCTCGACAGCGCGAGGGGCGATGCCGTGATGTGTCCGGCGACGCGGTGTCGGGCATCTCGCCGCCAAAGGTCCCAGATTCGAAGTCGTCGTGCGCGTCCGCACGCGGTTGGGGGCGACGCGGAGCGTGCACAGTAGTGCGTCACCCAAGTTTGGCGACCGGCGGACGGGAGGAGCGGACGGGACGCGGATTTCGCCGGCGTCGTCGAGCCGATACCAATGAAATCGCCCGACGACGGCCGATATTTTTCTCGTCGTATCGCCACGAAACCGCGTGGGTGTATGCGCCCTGGTTCGTGGGAGCGTTCTGTCGTGTTTATGAGGCCGTCGTACGCGATGCGGGCGCGTGAGAGGGCGGCCACGCGGCGGGTGGGGTGACTTGCAGGCGGCGTACGACGCGCAGGACGTACGCGACGCGGTCGTGCGCGAGATTGATGCGTCATGAGCGCATGACGTACGCGTCCTGAGGGCGCGGAAGGCGCAACGTGGCTGGTGGCATGATATATGCGGAGCCTGCCCCGGGTGCTGGGGCCCTCAGTCGAGTAGACCCGGCTGACGCCGTTGCGCATGCCTGAAAGTGTCGTGGACGGTAGTGAAGAGTTGTATTGTACCGTTGAGGGTGTTTTCAGCCGTTCCCGGAGGGTTTTGAATCATTTTTACGAAAATCTGTCTGCGGGCGAGATGAAAATTCGACTTTGTCAGCGTAATTCGTATCTGAACGAGCTGGGAGCG